AACTTAGATGAGTCGACTTCAACTCCAGAGTTCTGGGAGTTGAAGTCCACTCATCTTAAAGTGGCCAAGTTTGGACAACACTGGCATAGGTGGTTCACGAAGTTATGGCTCCAAGTCAGGCACCAGTTATCCTAAATATCACACCGGATTTCAGGCAGCTGTCCTGAGGCTGCCCAAGTTGCAGTATGTGGGCATGCTCAGCAGGAGAAGCACACAGGTATTCTGCATCTTGAAAAGAGACAATTCCCAGTACAAATCTTGCTGACACGATGATGTGCTGATCAAAGCTGCATTACTAACACCTTTCTCAAGGCAGAGTTGCTTTGTGTGAGATGGGCGGCTATCTAAATGGGATATATAAATACATAAAATAAATTTGTTTGGGTGAGGTATCATCAATATGTTGATGATATCCAGCTTTATATCTCCACTCTGGGCCACCTGAGTGATGCCTTGGATATCCCGTCCCAGTGCCTGGAGACTGTAAGGGTATGGATGGGGTGCAATGGTCTTCAACTCAACCCAAGCAAGGCTGAGTGGCTTTGGGTATTTGGGCCATCCGGTTACCAGGTTTTTCCATTGTTGGTCCTGGATGGGGTGGCACTGCCCCAGATGGACCTGTTATGCAATCTGGGACTCATGGCTCCTGCTAAAAGAGCAGGTGGCAGCCATAGCTGGGAGGGCCTTAGCACGTTTTCGGGTTGTGTGCCAGTTGTGTCTGTTCTTGGACTGGGAGGCTGTGTTCACAATCACTCATGCCCTCGTGACCTCTCATCTGGATTACTGCAATGCACTCTACATGGGGCTGCCCTTGAAGAGTATTCAGAAACTTCAGCTGGGGCAGAATGCAGCTGCACGGATAGTCAATGGTATTGGATATTTGAGACATGTAACTCCACTGCTACGTGAGCTGCGCTGGTTGCCAGTGTGCTTCCGGATGCAATTCAAGGTGCTGGTTGCCACCTTTAAAGTCTTCATGACTTGGGACCAGTTACCTAAGGGATCATCTTTTCCCCGTTGTTTCTACCTATTCAGTCTGGCAGGTTGGGCATGTTACCGGTCCGTCAGCCAAGGAATGTTGGCAGGTAAGGACAAGAGCCACGTTTCTTGGCTATATTAATATCTATGGCAATTGTTTTACCCAGCAACCATGTATATTTATTCGTATTGTTTTAATTGTTTTATGCTTTTATGATTGCCTGCTGCCCAGAGACACTTGTTTTGATGGGCGGCTATAGAAATTAAATACATAAATAAATATGTTAAATTGGTCAGAGAGTGAGCTGTAAGTCTCCCCATCTCCCCCCTCTGTGCAGGGAGAAAAGCCCAGAAGAAGAAAAAAAAGAAAAAGAAAAAGGAGGGAGAAAAAGTCAGGGGGGTAGAAGGAGAAAACAGGGATGAAAAGGAGGGAGGGAGAAAGATCTTTTCTTAGTAGGGTTTTTTGGTATAGTTCTATAGCACAGCACTTTTTAACTGTTCCCCACCTAACTCGCCCATCTCTCTTCCCTGCCTGCAGGTGTATGAGCAGGGGACGCAGCAGAGCAGCCGGCGTTAAAGCAGTTCCAAGTCAGACAAGGCGATGTCTCCTCCGCCCCAATGCAGACCCGGGCGAGCATTGCTGCTGCCCAGCGCCAAGAGAAGTCATCGCCGCTTCGCTTCCAGCCAAGGTTCCTGCGGGAGGTCGCGGCTGACTTCCTCGCTCCTCCTCCTCCTCCTCCTCCCCCTTCCCCACCGCAGGCTTCCATTGGTACAGCAGACCCCGCTGCCGTTCCAGGGGATCCCACCCTCGCCTAAGCGGTGCTGTCATCTCGAGCTTCACACCTGAACGAGCGCCAAGCCCCTGGGACGATATAAGGCGCTCCGGAGGCGCCGCGGCGGCACTCGCAGAAGGAGCGGCCGCGGAAGCAGAGAGAGCCGCGATCCAAGAGGCCCCGCGCTCGCTCTGGCCATGCTTGCTGCCGCTCTGCACCTCCCGAGCTTCCTGCTGGCCTGCGCGCTGCTGAAGAGCTGCGGGGCGTTCAAAAACGATGCGACCGAGATCCTCTATTCCCACGTTGTCAAGCCCGCCCCGGCCAGCGCCAGCAGCAACAACAGCACCTTGAATCAAGCGAGGCACGGGGGCAGGCACCCGGGATTCGATCGGAGCAGTAAGTGTTTATATACATACATACCTACACGCGTGCGTGCATGCATGCATGTATGCATAGATATGTAGCGTCTCCCCCTTTTTAAAACGGGTGTTCCAGACGTTACGAAGGGATGTTGGTCGCGAAGATACCTGCAGTGAAGAACAATAAACACGACCTTTTCTGTCTTCCCCGGTAAGGCAGACTGAGGGTCAGCTTAGCACCAGGTGCAAGCATTTGATTCACTTAGACGGCCTCCCGTGCGGCGGAGATCAGTCGTGCCGCCCTGGGGAAAGGTTGGCTTCGTTCACCGGGAACTCTGCTTCTTCCAAAAACCCGACCATTGGGGGCAACTGCTCATCCGCTTCTTTTGTCTTTTTGCTGTACCACACGAGTTTCCAGCCAAGTATTTGTCTCCATCTACTTCATAAAGCTAACATTTACCTTCAGTCCCTGGGCTTTGATTTTGTTCCAGCGCCCCCCTCCTTTTTTAAAGAGAAACGTCCTGATTTAATACTCACTTGTCTGAATCCTCTAGATCAGTGTTTCTCGACATCAGCAAGTTTAAGATGTGTGGACTTCAACTCCCAGAATTCCCCACCATGGCTGGCTGGGGAATTCTGGGAGTTGAAGTCCACCCATCTTAAACTTGCTGAGATGGTGTAAACAAACAGATTTGCTCACACCTTGGCTCCAACTTGCCTTTAAAAGTGTGCCTTCTCCCCACCTGCCAGCCCACGGTCCACCAACCTTGCTTGGATTTTGCTCAGAGAGAGATGTACAAGGAACCAGAAATGCTTTTGTCTGTCTTGAGTCTTATCCCAGGTGTAAAAGATATAAAAGGAACATGCTATGAACACCTTGATTTCTAAAGGAAATAGTCTCATCTTTCAGTGACAGAAATGCTTAACTACTTTTTCTAGGAAGGGAGACTGGAAAGAAGATACAGGAACTATCTTGTCAGTGCAAGATTACTGAAATAGCTCAGTAGTTACTCACTGTCACCAGGAATGAAAAAAGAAATAGTAGGGAAGCATATTATGCAGGCAGGCATTCACAAGGACACAGTGGTGGGGCAGAATTCTTCAGGCAGCAGTCAGTGTGCAGAAGTCCTCTGAAAACAGTCTAGCTGGGATCATCTTGAAAACCAATTGCTTTATTTGATGCCTCATTTTGTCCACTGCTTAGAGGAAAGGGGTTGCGTCCCTCTCTGACTCAAGAGAAAAGTTGATGCTAAATACAATCAAGTCATGTTGCCACTTTGTGTAAACTCAGTGCATATCTGACCATATTTGAGTTTTATTTCAATGGGTTTTACATAGAAGAATTTCCATGTGGCATGTACCTTGAAATAGACACGCTGGTTCTCAAGGAATGATATTGGTAGAAGTACCTAATATATAATGCTCAATTTCAACATTTCTTTAAAAAATAAGTTTTCTATATTTGATTTGGATAAACCTTTCCCATAAACAAGCTTAGGGGTCTCCAAGACTGGTCCAGATGTGCTAGACAACCTTCCAAATGTGCTAGACAACATCTCCCAGAATGTTAGCATGTCCAGCAGTTTAGAGATGTAGTTCAGCACATCAGGAAGGTTCCTATCATAAGGCAATAGCAAAACAAATTTTCTGTCCTTTTTTTCTTTTCTTTCTCTTTTTCTTTTCTAAAAAATCTTCTTTCTATCTGATTTCAAAGAAGCACTATACACCCAAATATCATGATTATGGACATACATCATGAATTCCATTTCTATTTATTTGCATTGCTTTTAAACAAGACAACATAACACTGTTTCCATGATAACATTTACTTTAAGAATATGTAAGATTCAAAGATGGTGTGTGTTGAAATTCATGGTGTGTGTTCGTTTCAAAGGGATAATTATGAAAATAAGGAATCGGGCTTGTTTCTGTCAGGATATCTACAGAGGGAAGCAGGCACAAACATGCCTGCATTTGCAGCTAATTCAGCACCTTGGTACAATGTCAGTTGCCTTTTAAAAAATGAAATAACATTGCCTCAGGTTGTGCGGGGCTACCCATTTTTTCAGAAAGACACTTGCAAGCAGCGGTGCAATTCTGTAATACTGCACCCTAAAGAAAGCTCTATATGTTAATTAAGAACATGTATGAAGAATATAGTCCTCTAAGAATTGTCCTCAGAAGTAGCATTAGTTTCCTTTATAGGTAACATGCATGCTTTGAGTTATTATGATTAGGGTCATCTGAATATAATATATTAAACCAAACCAACACTCAGGATAACCTCACACAAAACTTATACTTAATTAACATCTTGGAGAAAATCCACCTTGAACTGAGATCCAGGACTATTTTTTTTTTTTATGAAAGGGAGGCAGATGAAAGGGAACCTTACAACATGAAATTATTTCTGATAGCATCAGTAGCTAAGGCGGCACTAACAGCAGCCTCCTTAGCTTGGGAGCAGACTACACGTGTGTGTATATTGTTTCTGTGGGGTGGTTCCCTCCAGCCTCAGGAACCCAAATTAGGACTGAGGTACAAGCAAAACTCCAATAAGGTGGGCTTCAACTTTCAAGCATGTGGTAAATGAATGCCCAGAATGAGAACGGCTTGTATAGTATATAAGGAAAAGATGAGTATGCAGATCCATCCATGACATTCAGAAGTATCTACTGATTGTAGTATAATATGGAATTAGCATCTTATCCACCCTGCCATTCTTTCAAAATACAGATAGTGTAAAATGAGCTGGGTGCTCTATGTTCTATACTCAGTTTGAATTCCTTTCCCTGGAGAAATGATGCTGAAGGTACAGTGTATCTCTGCAAATAACAGCCGTGTGATATGTAATGTGAGGAATCATGGATTTTGTTGTGAGTTCTTTGGTAGCTGAATTATCTTGCAGTAAGAAGGAATAAGAAGGAAACAGCATAAAGACATTGCAAATAGAATTGATAATGGACTTCCTGATGTTATCTATACAGTGAACTAGGGAGGAGACAATTGTTAAACCATATGAAGGACTGTGGCTGTTGCTATCTCTGATACAAAAAGTAACTCTAAATAAGAAGGATTTGTTTTGTTTTTGACAGGTCGAGTTCAAGTTGGCTGTCGGGAACTGCGATCAACAAAATATATTTCAGATGGCCAATGTACCAGCATAAACCCTCTGAAAGAGTTAGTATGTGCTGGGGAATGCCTCCCTTTGCCAGTACTACCTAACTGGATTGGGGGAGGTTATGGATCCAAGTACTGGAGCAGAAGAAGCTCACAGGAGTGGAGATGTGTCAATGATAAAACTCGCACCCAGAGGATTCAGCTGCAGTGCCAAGATGGAAGCACAAGAACCTACAAAGTAACTGTGGTTACAGCTTGTAAGTGCAAACGATACACCAGACAACACAATGAATCCAGTCATAACTTTGAAGGAGCAACTCAAGCCAAGCCAAACCAACATCATAAGGAGAGAAAAAGGAACAGCAAATCTGTGAAGCAATCTCCAAGTTAGAATTTAATTGTGTGTGTGTGTGTGTGTATGTGTGTATACACATATATACACACAAACTTATTAATGATTGTCTGTTTTACAGACGTCACTACCAAACAAAACCGCTCTTATGTTGTTGTTGCTTCTCCATTGGGTATACAGGTAGTCCCCAGGTTAAGAATGTCTGGTTACAGATGACCCATAGTTAAGAACAGAGCCTGTTGTAGCAAAATCTGAGTTAAATACACAATGATTCGAATTAAATGCACGGTGGTTTGAGTTCATTACACAATACTACTTACACAGTATTATACAATAACACTGTTCCAGCTTACATACAAATTCAACTTAAGGACAGACCTTGGGAACAGAACTCATTCTTAAAGTGGGGATTTAAGATTTACCTGTATATACATTTGTGGCTTTGAACAAACTCAGAAGGGCATTCTTTTCTGAAGGATCTTTTGGAGGTGAGCCTTCGTATTTTAAAGCTGGCCTATAAGCCTACAGTTTATTGATTTATATATGAATATCTAAATAATGAAAATGAATATTTGTTGCCATGGGAAGTCAGTCAGTTTTATACTGCAGACAGCAGCTATTGTGAATTTTTACAGGGGCACTTTCCAGATCAAGTATTTTACTGACAGCAAAGATATCTTGTTTAAAACAAATGTTATAATTTCACTCTAATCATGAATCCAAGCATCTGCCTGGGATTATTCTTCCCCATAACAATAAGTATATGAACAAATTGCTGAACAAAAAGGAAAAGCATACATAGCAGGAAAAAGGAAATTTGAATAAAATCTATTTATTTGACACTGTAATTATTTAATGAATTTTAATGTGCTTTCTATTTTTTAAGATGGCTGTCTGATATATTTACCATTCTTCCGAGCATCAAAATATTTTCTTATGATTTCTTACCAAATTAGAATATACATTTGTAGATAATGTAAATAGATATTTTAACCTTTATACTTTTTAAAAAAAAAATACAGTTCAAGTAAGAAATTCTAAAAATGTTTTGTAAATACTTTGTAAAATACATTTTTAGCAGTCAAAAGATTGACTTGTCAATTTTATCCATTTTTAATTAAAAAAAAATACCAATAACAAGGTCTTTGGTTTTCTCTGATGTAATAAAATAAGTGGTATGAAGGACCATAGGCTGCCAGCAAGGCACATAGCAACAGAGCACATGCAAGGTTCAGTCTCTGGTGATGCAAAGCCAATGTACTGAGCTATATAACCAATTATCTGATTCATGCAAATCATCTTGCAAGGGTGACTTGTTGCATCCCTCCTACATCAGGAGACTTGGGGGATATGAAAAATGAGCTTGGCCCATCAGAGAAGACATATGTTGAAACTTCACTTGACAGCCTTTTTTATGAGATGATGTTCACAGTAGTAGAGAAAATACATTTGGGGAGCTACTTCAATGGCCTTCCTAGGTCATCTGCCCATACACACATGGAATAAAATTGTGTTGGGGTTGGCAGACAAGCAAGTGATTGAAATGCCCCTCAGAATGAATTGCACAGCCTTATATCTGCCCTCCATTATTGTATTTGTACCTCAGTGGAATTGAACTCAAGCATTCTTGTTTAAAAATCAAACTACTTTTGTCCTGCTGTCAACTTTGGAAAGAGAGACTAAGAGAGAGAGAGAGAGAGAGAGAGGTTGGTTTTGAATGGCAACCCAGTAACTACTGGATGGATAACTAAGGATTGCCATACCATTTGGAGTCCCTAAGATGCTGACAATGCAAAACTTGCTATTTTCTTGGTTTCATTGTTCAGATTCTTGGGTACAGCCTAACATATCTGTTTTGCTCTTTGAATCCCCTCCAACTGCACTACAAAAGAGCCCAGAAATTTAGTCCTTTCATTCCAATAAATTTCCTGCATCATTCACTGTGTATACTAAGACCCACGCAGGCTCTAAATTTTTAAAAAGGAACACTGCTATTCCTACAGCTGCAAAACAGTTATGAATCTTGGTTGTAAATAAAACAATTACCAAAATGATAAACAATGATTTCTCTGTTATCCCATTTTCAATTGCCTACAAGTTGGATGTTTTTTTCCAACAAGTGCTGTTTATGTGGATCATACTTAAAATATGTGCAGAGATTGTCTGGAAATAGTGTGTTTTCAAGAAATTGTAGGTTAAGAAATTGGCTAAAATATTACTTTGAATTAGAAATGTGAAAACAAATTTGGCAATAATGTTTAGTGTAAAGAAAATATTCCAGTCAATTGCTTTGGCTTCAAAAATCCTCATGAAATTCTTAATAAGTAGTGTTTATTAATAGTTCAAGCCATTTATTATTTACTATTTCTTTCACTGCCCATCTGGAAAATTGGATACCTTGTGGCACTAAGATCACCCATTTTATTAGAGGTATTTATGGTGATTTGTACAAATATTCCTATAATATTCAAAATCTCATATTTTCAGTATCATATACATTAGCAATTGAAAACTCTACTTTTAATTCATAAAACCTTACAGTTGATGAAATCAGCTTCCAAGCATTTCTCACAAAGAGTCAAGAATACATTAGAAATTAGTGCCTGTAATGGAAAGCAGACAGGTGTATCAGAAGGATTCAGAAAATCTGTATTTTATTAAGGACAGGTTATCTGTCCATCTAGCTTGCTATTGTCTACTCTTACTAGTAGCAGGTCTTGCAGGCTTTTATATCATTTGCTACTTGAGCCTATACATAGGCAGTCACTAAGACTGACCTTAGAACTTCTGCATATAGAGCAGGTATTCCATCACTGAGCTTTTAGGGTGGATAAGTCTGTCCCAACTCTGCCTATAATGATGCTGAATGTTGTCAGCCCTTCGAGGTAGTCCAGAAACCAAAACCATGAGTACTAACACTACCTTTATTGTAAGGTTACAATAACAGAATCCTGCAAGTCTGAAAGCACTTCTCCCCTCCTTTTCCTTTCCTTTCCTTTCCTTTCCTTTCCTTTCCTTTCCTTTCCTTTCCTTTCCAGGGAACTAGGGAGAGTCCCTTTTGATACATTTTCTACACCCTCATTCCTTCTGCAGGCTGAGATCTTTTGTCTGACAGTTGTCTAGACTGTGGCTCCTTCCCCTTCTCCCAAGGTTATTCTCACAGCCCATTACAACTGTGCTGTTGGTAGTAGTGCTTGTAATTTCCATCTTCAAAAGAAGACTGGAAAAAAAGCAGCAGGAAGTGACAGCCTCCAAGCAACCTTTGCAGTAGCTGGAAGATCATCAGATGACTGATCCCCATTTCACTAAGTCATGTGCTGCCAGGTACAAATATTGACACTTAAAGATTATTTCTACTCAGATAATGGCTGATTATATCAACCACACTGTTTGAACATACAGTAGACACTGTGTCACATAAAAGAGCCCTACATGATGTTAGGAAAGGGCAATTTTATTGTGAACCGCCCAGAGTCACTTTTTGTGAGATGGGTGGTATCTAAATTTGAAATATTAATAAATTAATAAATAAAAATGAGCCAACAGCAAAAAATAAAGGGGAATAAGTTGTGATTAAATATCTGGAAGGCCTTCTCTTGCTCACTTCCATGGCTCTGGATCTGACACAGCATTTTTGCTCCTTGATTTAGTCTTGTCCTTGACCTCTGAGTTTGGCAGAGTATCAGAATTATTTCTGTCAAGAATTAGTAACTTTACTTTCTGGACCTTAGCTACATTCTGATTAAAGTATAATGAGCATTTAAAAAAAAATCTAGACATATTAACTGTATTGCCTACTGTAAAATGATAGCTTACATCTGATAGGTTTTTCATTTGCTGAATAAAATATCTGGAATTTTTTTTGGGGGGGGTGTTGTACAATGTAAACAGATCTGTCTGCAGGAATAGATAAGAGTCATGATTAGCCTGCTATATGGTTTTAAAATAGAAAGTGTGCATTGTAAGGTATTAGTTACATTTAAGGAATGGAATGATTTTTCTTAATTGTTAAAAACCCAGTACTCAAATGAAATTAGGTACTACAGCTGAAAGAAACAAGCTTATCTTCATTAGTGAACTGTTGCCTGTTGATTAAAAAATGCCCACTGCTAAGAAGAACTGAAAAAAATAATGAAAAGGAATATATTCTCCTGTGGTATAGTAGTTAATCTGATAGCACCATGGAAATATAAATGCACAGTCATTGTAACAGGCAAATTAGGAAGGCATGAAAATATTCTCCATTTGGAACATAAAGTTCATGCAATTTTTTGTAACAAAAATTAGGAGTTTTGTTCTGTTCCCCTTTGTTTCCTTAAAATAATAATTATTATACTGACAAAAATCACAACATCTGAAATTCTGTCATTTTCAATGATCTGGCAATCTAGAAACATCAAATCCAAGTTCAGTACAGGTAGTAGAATAATGTTGACTTTTTGAATAACACCCTTGGAAATACCTAAAAAGTTTCTGCTTCATAAATAACCATCATCCCCCTAAACTTGACCTTTACATCCTTCCTGAAAGAGTGCCACATTAATCATGTGTGAGTTCAACACATTCCACTCTGGGATTCTTGTGGCTACCAGAGGGTTTCGAGAAACACAGAAGGATTGGTGAGGGCTGTGAAGCATTCTCTTCTCATGATGCATTTCCCTTCCTGCAGGCCAGGCAAGAAAGCTTTGATTTTAATTTCACTGACATACTTGTAAATGTAGCTTCAGGTTAAAACTTAAATTTGTCTGCAGATTTATGAGCCAGGCAGACATTCTGTTATGGGGCTTGTTCCTTTTGCTTCAACATCATCCCCACAACTAAACCTGCCTGAGTGTTTTTCTGAAAGACAGACAAAGTTTCAAATCATTTCACATTTTCTCCCATTTTGCTTTGTAGCCCAACGACCCTCATTACATTAGAAAGCAGCCATGATTCTGTGCAGACTTACCTGGCAGTAATTTATTTATCTGCTCATTCATTCATTCAGTCATTCATTCAAATGTATTAGCCACTCAACTCCAGTGGATAGTAAACTCTAT